CGTGTCGTCCAACAAACAATCCACGCGCAAGAAGGCAACTAACGTTTACTGTCGCTGTATGTTTGCAGTAATTACAGTAGCCTACAAATACTGCAAACTTCTGTGCATGCATTACCCGTTTCTGCTACTCATGTCTCTGGTGTTGAATCCGCGACAGATGTCGAAACGTCAGGCGAATAAACGTATTGTCTTAGCGATTGAGTCTTCTTCTCAGATCTCTTTCAAATGGCATCAAGAAGGAATGGTGGACTGCAGGAACCGGTTCATGGGAAACATGCGGTGTAGGATCGAGGCCTTCCTTTTCTTCAGTATAAGCAACCAAACGTGTTTTTCAACTAGCATGACTGGCCGATGATTTATGTTTGACGTCTGGTACGCAAGTCGCGAGAAAAGTGAATTCTTCTGCAGAAAACAGGAGGGCTGCTTTTCCTCTGAAGATGAACTAAGGGCCGAAGGTATTCGCCATGAAAACTCAGGCACCAAGGAGCGACGGATAGTCAGCTGTGAGCAGTTACGCACACGTAGTCCAAAAACTGGAAAAGAAAGTAGCTAAAACCTACCCGATCCAACTGTTTGATTTCGATCACGGGCACATTCAGGAAGTCTAGTTTGTCCTTCTCAGGAATGGGAAAGTCGAAGAAGTCCCAGTTATCCTTGTGACCCTGCTTCGTACCTTCAGGCAGTGCGATCTAAGATAAAAAAAGAAGAGCCTGATACTTTAAAAGGTCATTACAGGGAGAAAAGGTAAGATCGCATGGCAAATGCCTATTTTGAGTAAATTTTCAGTGGCCGATAGGGATAACCCTGTTTTATACCCATAGACATTTAGGTGGTGGTGGTGGTGATGTGTGTGTGTGTTATAGCCCAATGTTGGATCGATAGACCCGTCGGAATCCAAACTCGTAGTAGTTGGAAGACAGGGAAGAGCCGAGACCTCGACCGGCTTCAGTCAAAGGTCCGTGAGGGGAGTTGGGTGCCTGGTTGGGAAATGCAGGCGAACAGATATTGACAGCCACGCGGAGAAATGCCGCAGTCGAGACAGCTGTCGGGTGTGGGCGGGTCGAGCCGATGCTGGTACTGGTGACGGAGCATTGAGAAGCTACTGCGTAGTTGAGCCAAGGTACGAGTGACCCTCGGGAGTCGTTGTTCTGAGGCCGTAATCGGAGGTGGATAGCCGTCCAAAAGGATCTAGGGATGGTAACTTCGTTCTTCTTCGACAACAGCACGACGCTAGAAGCCCGGCATGATAACAGAGCAATCAACGGGTACATCCGAGGGGTAATGCTGTCAGTGGTAATAGGTAGTTAAGAAGATGATTATCATTATTATGAGCAAGGGAACGATTGAATTACCTTGGGACCGCCCGAAAAGGCGC